GATCTTCTAACCACTCAGAGCGGAAGACTTCCTTGTGGACTTGTACTGTGAGATCTTATTGTGGCACAATTGACCATCACATCCTGTCGCAGAGTGGAACACTTAATCGGCATTCAAGGAACTGCATTAAGCTTGTTTAAATCCTATTTACTGGATCTATCTCTGTTTGTACAAGTTAACAATGAATCCTCCAGTCACGGGTTAGCCAAGGAGTTTCACTAGACTTGATGCTTACTTTCTATTCACTTCATAAATACTTCTCCATAAATGTTCATGGTTATGCAGATGATACCAAATTCAAGCATGCCTTAAGGACATAAAGACCTCGATGACCCATTTTCTGCTACTAAATTCAGCACCTGGAAGTTATTGTGCTTGGACACCTATGAATCACATTTACAAAGGATATATCTATTATAGATGGCTACTTGCCTCTAGCACCAGAAATCCTGGAGTAATCTTTGATTAGGATATATCCTTCAAATCAAATTTAACAAACTTCAAGGATCCCCTTTTTACAACCAAGTTAAATTACATTGTTTTTGTAGGTTTGATTATTGGAATTACTTATTATCAGGCTGCTCTTCTAAATCTCTTAATATTTTTATTTAACAAGAAAGTTTACCCATTTATTCCTTGATAGCATCCTTGCTTTGGTCCATGTGGCTATGAAAAAGAAAGAAAGAAAAAATGGCCTAACGGTCAGTCAACATGAGAAGATTACATTAAAAGTCCTCTAGTTTCCTTTTAACCAGCTAATGTAACGCTTACAGATAAGGGTGGCTTGGGCTTTACCTGGGGCGGCTCTCACTTATGAGTCTGATTCTGCTTGAGATTTCCACTTCTCTAAAGGAAGGTTTTCCTTGCTGCTTTTGACAATGGCATGCTAAACTTTTACTTTGCTTTTCAGCTGTCATAAGAAAACTTTTATTGAGGTTCTTTATATAAAAATACTGAATGAGCAATTTTGAAAATAATATTGACTATTTGGCTTCTTGCCTAATGTATAAAAAGGTAAATGGACTTGAGCTGAGGCTGATATGTAGAGTGACAATCAGTTTAAGCTAATCCCAGTCATACACATTCAGTGTAGCTGCCGAAGCAGTGGGAGCAACTGAGGTGTCTTGCCCAAGGACACATCAGAAATGTCGCTGCAGGAGTTGGGGATCGAACTCTCAACCTTGAGGGATGACCAACTCTACCACTGATCCACAGCCGCCCCATATGTCCTCACATATGTATTCAAAGATATCCATCATTTAGTCATTATGAATCATTTCTGTTATTAATAAAAAAAATATGATCCACATCAAACTTTAAGAATTTATTGTTTAATTACATAAAGGACAACTGTCTTGCAAGATATTTACAGAATTTTCTTTAAGGTTTGAGCACTCCCCCATTCTCTTATCATTCCTAACTTCAAATGATGTGTTATTTCCAAAAGCTTCTGTCATTATTAGAAAGAATGGCACAGACATCTTCAACAATCTTGTTTTAATGACAAGGGAAGCATACAAGCGATCATTTTTATATGAAATGTTCATCTGACTTAGTATGTATATAAATTATACTACATAAAAATCTGCTTGTAATATGATCGGCAACATGTTCCCAATTTACCTGAGCCGTATCTTCTCATTTTATCCTTACCTCTGGGACATTTTTACAACTTGATCAACGTTTCTTAACATAATAATTGTTCTTATACCATAATAATTACATGACTTGATTAAGGAACACAAACACAAGTTTGCATGTACATTTTTTTTACTATTACAATCCTACATGTTTTTGTAATATTAAGACATAAACAGTCACAAATGATAGATGCTCCTCCTCCCCAAATTGCTCCCGCTGCTACATTAGCGGCATGGGAATGAATGGATTGATTAATACAGATGGACATTTTGCATAGCAGCCTCTGTCCTCAATTTGTGATTTGGTGTGAATGAGTGTGTTGTAAAAAGCGCTTTGAGTAGTCAGAAGACTAGAAAAGCACTATACAATCTCAGCTCCATTCACCATTACTGTTTACCTTCTCACCTTTAACTGACTTTCAAAATGATGTCATAGAATTCAGTGAGCAGACACTCGTGTTACAATTTCTCTTAATCCTAATCCCTTTGTTGTGGTCAGGAAATCACACTAACTGTGCCTTCTCCTGCTTGTCTTCTCATTCACCTGCCCCCTTCAACTAGTGTGTTTAGAGGCCTAAGCCTTAATCCTCAGCCTTGCAGTGATTTTATTACAGTAATCTCTGCTGAAATTGGCTTAGCTCTTCCAGACATTGGCAGAGAGCGACAAGGACGACAAAAATGGGTCTTAATGGATTTTTTCTAATGAATTTATAATGTTGATAATATTAGGATAACTTTGGGTTTCTTTGCTGCCTATATTTGAATACGAATGTCAGTCAAATGATACTTGATGGAAATCCTAAACAAACAAAACACACATTCTTGCTTAAATTTGAAAATGGTCATGACCAATTGAAGAGTTTAAGAGGACATTCCACTCCCCCACTCTTGCTAGGGCTGGTGAGGCAATAGTCCAATCCTAACAAGACATATAAAGAACTTCATTTTAAATGGAGTTCGTCAGCAGCTTTCATAATTACTGACTTAAAAATCATCTAACAGATCCTCTTCCAGCCCCATTTACCTTCCAGTCCTGTTTTCCAAAGGGTTATGAGCATTAAAATAACTTCCCAGATGACACAGCAGCTAACCTTACTTACATACAGCCTTATTCCTAGATACAATTAGAGCCTAGCAGAATCAATCTCTCAATAAATCAATAAATCAACTAATCAATCAACCTATCAATCAACTAATCAATCAACCAATCAATTAACTAATCAACCAATCAATCAACCAATCAATCAATCAATCAATCAATCAATCAATCAATCAATCAATCAATCAATCAATCAATCAATATATATATATATATTTTAATTCTGCAATTTATACCAAATCATGTCTAGACCATACTCTTTGTCATATTATTCACAAAATGTCATATTGCTCTTTGATTGGAAGGAGAAGCGGAATCATTTTGGTACTTAGAGTAAAGCACATTGAGTTACGGAAGGGGATTAGGGCCACTGAGATTTATTTTCCCTTTTTTCTCAGAATTCTGAAATAACTATACTGTGCAAGTTCAATGTGGACTCTGACAGCGGGGATTACAAAGGCATGGTGGGTCAGGCTGACAGCAGGGGCATGGGGATGTGTTGGAGCCGGAGTCCAGTCCTAACGTGCTTTAAACCTCCTTGCTGCTGTAATATAGACGTTATTCTGTGTCAGTCGGCGATGCCAATTTCCCATCTACAGGCCTGGAGTAGTGTTTCTCTATTTTCAGTCGTTTCTGAATGTGTGTGTTTTTAACTTGTTTCGTTTATGTATTTGTTTCAAATGCAATGTTGCTAAATATGCTGCACGTTTCTCTAAATGCACGTCGTTTCAGTTGTTGCTGAGCCTATGCACCTATACCGGCCACCATAAATACTATACCCAGTCTGTATTGACTCAAATCAATACAGATTTCTTCATAAATGTATGTTATTGATTTATAAATAACACAAAATAGCTTGATTTTTCTATACAAACACTTCTGAAACAAAATTAATTAATCCTAGAATAAAATAAATGTACCTCGTGCCAGCTGTTGCTGAGCCCATGCACCTACCGGCCTCCGTAAATATTAAAGACACAGTTGACTTAATTACATTTATATTGAATTGCAAGTCTTATCGAAATGCATTTGAAATGTATACATTATATAGTTGGAGAAATTGAAAACACTTGTAGAGCACTAAAAGCAGATTAACCAAGAAGGTACTAGAAAGTCTAACTTCATGGTATTTTAAGTATGAGTGAAATGATTATGTTTTGGATAAATGCACTATGACACTTATAAAATGCTGGAATTTTAATCTCCTAAAAAGCTTATAAAGCATATATATATATTACACGTTATTTAAAGTAAACATTGAAAGTACTGAAGAACTTGAAATGAACTTATGTAAGTATATTAGGAGTACAAATGTTCTAAAACATATTGTGGCTATCTGCTGTGTCAAAAACAGATCAGAGGAAAAGATCTTAAAAGTCTTAAACACACAGCTACTGTGCTAACCGCAACAGGAGCACAGCTTTATTATAAAGACAAGAATAACACTAGCCGGAGGTCTAAAACTGCAACAACTCTCACACTCATGTTGTAACAAACATAAACATCCCCATGAGCCTTTGCTCCACGAACTGTCCGAACTCAGAGTGACTGTCCATTTGAGTATGCTTCAATATTTTAAGTGCAATCAAATGCATTTTTAAGTTATCTAAGTTTAAGTTATTAAGTTTGCATGCTAAAACACAGACCACTTTTGAATCCCCTTATGGGCAACCTAGCCTTCATAAATTGCCGAGAGAACAGACAACAGATTGGACAATTAAGTAAAGTCAATAACATCTCAGAGCAGGGACTGAACTGTTCCCACAGCCCCACAATATCTAAACATCTGTGACTGGCCCCATCATGTCAGTGGTAAGAAAGGCAATTTGTCAACTAAAATAATCAGGAAATGTATTATGTGAAAATAAATGTCATCATGACTTAAAACATTTAAACCACACGGAGTGATCATTGTAGCTGGAAACAAATGTACTGTATACTCTGAAACAGCAAAAAGGTAGATGTTGGCTCAATTTTTATTTTTCACCATATATTCTTCACAACTTTCTCATCTTAATCTCAGCAACTTATCTTTGGACTCTCAGATCAAGCCAACCAGCCGAGACAGTAAGGAAGTCCGAGTGTGTGTAAACGAGTGAAAGCTACAGGTTAAAGAGAGAGACGCTCCATACTCTCCAGGGAGCGCGTGTCTCTTTAAGAGCTGGAGTGTGCCATTGAGCAGGAGGGAAGGGGAGGAGGAGGAGGAGGGGGGAGAGGTGGGGTGGTTGGCTGCATTGGAACAGTCCTCTTTAATGAGCAGATTTTCTGGGAGAGACAATACACACACACACACGAGAGAAATACAGTGATCCAGCCACAGGAGCTGAAGAGATTCGTCCAAGACACACCGGAAGACTGGCTGCGTGTTGGCCGGCGCTCCACAGGGTAATATGGAAACGAGCAGGAGATGTTGAAGAGGACAGAACATACCGTAACTGGATCATGAAGATGGATGTTTTATTATCAAGCAGGCAATCTGAACACAACCCACGCAGAGGATAAACCACTTATGGACGCAGTGGATTAAAGACCCACAAACAGACTGAGAGAGAGAGAGAGAGAGAGAGAGAGAGAGAGAGGGAGAATAGGAGATTTATAACTCAGATGTTTATTTTAATTGTCTATGTGCACTTGCTGTGAGATAAAATGTGTTAACCTGCTTGAGTGCATGCACAAGGCAGGACACTGCATTGCTGCTCTTCAGCAAGACAGGGTAGACTTAAAACAGAGGCAGCCAAGCAGATAACCTTATGTGTTTTCTCTATTATTCTGCCTCTTCCTCTCTCTGTTCATGAGTGCCTTCCTTCGTGGTGCAGCCAGGCACAATGTGTAACGTGCAGACTATGAATAAAAAGGAGGATGGTGAAGCCTGAAGTGAGCTACAGATTCCAAGTCAGACTTTAAATGGCCCATTTCATGTTACCATCAGGAGCGACTTGAATAAAAATGAAATATTTTTCAAGAGAGGAGGAGATTTTTATTTTTTCATCAATCACACTAGCTGTCACAACCAGTTTGGGCTTGGTGCTGATTAAGGAGCCAGACAGTGACTTCTGTGCTGGAGGTTTGGACGCTTAAAGGGCTACAACAGAGGAGAATTCTTGGCAGTACACCCCAGAGAGGTGGAGGCATCATCAGGTAGGAGGCCACTGAGCGCGGGCGCCTGAGTGGAAAGCAGGAAAGAAGTAGGTGGAGGAGTTGTGCATGTGTGTCATAGACTGTGTAGGCAGGCCACTGGCAGGCGGATGGATCTTGCCAAGGGTTAGAACTCCTGCTGAGAGAGGATAATGGCAACTCTGTGCCCAGTCTCCTCCTCTCTAACCTGCATCAGCCACACAAAAGCTGGAAAGGGCTAGCTGGTGCTACCAAGTGGCCACCAAGAGGATGATGTAAACAGCATCAACATAAACAAGGCCAGGACACCCCTGACACCCCTGCAAGGGGCAAAGTTTTGTTGTGCACATTTTTTCTCTTTCTTCTCTAAATCACCTTGAAACAAGTGGGTGGGGGGGGGGCCTTGATTTTGAGTTTGAGTTCTCTCCCTCCCACTCCCGCCTCCTCCTTACCCTTGACCTGATCCATGGATTGGTTCTAGCACCAACCTGTCCTTCTTTTTCCTCCCTTTGTTTTCTTTTCTTTTTCTTTTTCTTTTTTACGAGGCTTCAGGAGAATTGCCAAGACCTGTTTCATGCATGTCCACTGGCGGCAGGTTCAACTTTGACGATGGGGGGGTCATACTGCGGAGGGTGGGAGGAGGGCAAGGCGCACGGCCACGGAATCTGTACAGGGCCCAAGGGCCAGGGCGAGTACTGTGGATCCTGGGCCCATGGCTTTGAGCTGCTGGGTGTCTACACCTGGCCAAGCGGCAACACCTACCAGGGCACCTGGGCTCAGGGCAAGAGACACGGTGTGGGTGTTGAGAATAAAGGCCGCTGGGTATACAAGGGTGAGTGGACGCATGGCTTTAAGGGACGCTACGGCCTACGTGAGAGCATGGGTACAAGTGGGAAGTACGAAGGGACTTGGAACAACGGGTTGCAGGACGGATACGGGACTGAAACATACTCAGATGGAGGTAAGACTGATAGAGAAGATGCTCACAAAACCAATTTAGTTGGTGCCCCGTAGTCAAGATTTCAGCTGGTGTCCCTTGTATTGCAGCCAATTCCACCACCAGTCATAATATTCATACACTTAAAAAACGAAAACTGGCATTCAATTTACAGATTTCCTTTATTTTAAAATAAAAAATACCTCTGGACACAGCAATAAAATGGTACTAACAATAATATGTATCACAACATGAATAAACAATAAATACAAATACAAAATGAATAGTGTAACAGAACATACAATATAAAACAACCCAGTGCAGGGAGCAGAAGTGGTCACAGATGGCTCAGGGATAGCAGGGAATGGGTTTGAATATTTAAAACATGCATCTGGAGAGAGAAGATAAGCATTTGTATTACAATGTGGATATTCAAATCTAGTGTGAACAAAAAGAGCTTCTGTGAACCCAGTCAATAATTGCACCTGCAGCCTTTAACATTCTAAACATCAAAACTAATGACGGGGATATCTTTAGCTTTCTGGACGTTTGTTGTGCTTATATGTTTATATCCATATGCTTATTGTTGCATCAGACTGGACCAATATGATTTCAATATTTAGAAAATAGCTGGAAAGAAATGTAATATCTACTATTTGTTTCACTACAGAAAACATTGTCGGGGCTATTCCTTTGGAGAAAACGCAACAAAACAAGCTCCTCCAAGTTACACACCGACTGAACTCTTAAGTGCTGACAGACTAAAGAATCTGTATTCAAACTTAAATAATTCATTGGCTTAGAAACAACCAGTCAACCCCCTTTTTACATGGCTGCATTTACACTGTACTGGTTTCATTTAAATCAATTTAGTCAATATGGTATTTCATAGTAGTGAATAAGTAGTGATAATAAAACACACTTTTAAAAAGCTTGATTCAGGAAATCATATGTTCTTTTCAGAGCAGTACAGAAAGCTCCGCATATTATTTCAGCTTAGCTAAAACGTTTTCCTAAGCCTTACAACCCCAGCTACACCATGCACTCACATTTATTCAGTGAGGACTTCTTGCACATAATACATGCATGCTCTTTGACATAAAAACTCAAAAAGCAAGTGCTTAAAACTATTAATTACAACAGGTGATGGAAAATACTTTTTTTTTTAATCGACGGGGGGTGTTAGCTAGTACACAAAGATGTCAATAAAAATACAAGTTGGTCATACTAACATACTTCACAAAAGTAAAAGTGTATTTCTTTTTATTTTCCTTACACATGAATAATCTTTATGAATGAAAATACAGTGGAAATAACTGACATTAAATCTAGCTATTGATTAGGAATTAGGTAACATGGACGTGACCATCATCCATCCATAACAAGTTAGCATAACTGCAACAGATGAATAATTGATTCCTTCAGAACATTCACGTTTTGTCTCCTCTTCTTCTTTTTCGTCTCTGGGCTCTCGAGGGCTTCGTTTTATTTTTTGAAGTAACGGTAGTTTATGCACCTGATATTGATCGGTATGGTCAGTCACTCACTCCTGAAAACTTGCCTGCCCTCCTTCCCCATAATGAGCAAGTAACGAGTAGCGGTGTTGTGATGCGCCGGGTCGGGGTCAGAGAGGGAGCGAGAAAATAGGTCCTTTTGAAATCGGTTGTGTAGTTATGTTTTCTTGGCTTCTTTTGTAACATTACTAAACAATACTGTAGCTTGAAAATGATATATAATAATATTTAATGGATACTTCACCCATTGAAACATGAATCTGTATTGACACTGGGTCATGTAATAAATTTTGAAGTTGGTGCCTTCTTGACTGAGAAAAGGCATAAAGTGTATTTTTGGCTCATGTGGATGAAAGACAACAACTCCCAGAATGCACAGCACTGCAGGCCACTCCCACTGAAGCTAGGGTGCTCTATTTACAGACATTTACTTCAACACATACGGCCGTTTCCTCAACTGATACCAAGATTTCTTCCAGAAGGAATTGGCATCTTGGAAATTCCTGCCAGAAAACAGACTTAATGTCTGTGTCCATAGGCAAACAGTGAGAGCACCGACACTACAAGTCCGCCCCAACTCGAGCCGCACCGGGCTCCTCGTCCTCACCGCCGCTGACAGGCAGTTCTTATGCCTGCTGCAGCCGTGGCATAGGCCCGGCCTGTCAGCAGCAGCTGCATAGCCGCTAAATTGCGGCTCGTAGAGATAGCCACAAACATCCGATTCAAGCACAAAATCTTCAAAATTCCCTTCATCCATATCAGTTTGAAGTTGAAACTACCAAGCAATATGGTGGACGTTGAGTTTTGATTCTGGGAGTGAGTTCCCACTCACTGATCTGTGATAGGTCTGTAGCTTCAGTGGTCGAAAATATGAGGAACTAGCGTTGTAGTTTCATCCCTGCTAACCCCAGCAGCCGCCGATGGCGCAAAATGGCAATTTTTGGGTCATCGGAGGCTCCTTTTCAGACTTAGAAATACAAAGATTTCCCATCTCAGGGGAAAATGAGGGCGGGATGCACGACCATTCAAAAAAGCTACCAAGTTTCTAATGATTCAAAGCTTAATGCAAATGGGTGAAGTATCCCTTTTAAGTGACAGTTAATCCCAATTTTCCTTATTTTTCTTATTATTACTTTTATTCCTCCCCTATGACAGCCGGTGCCCCTAGCACCTGCCTACACTGCCTACTGTATGCCACAGGCCAGCCCTGCTCAGACATATGCATGTTGTTAAAGGGAGGGGTTTTCAGAACCAGACAGCGTAGGGCTATGAGACATGACTACTATTCTCTCCAACAATTATCGGTTACTTTTGGAGGTAATAGATTGAAGGAGTTTGTCCAGAGGTCTCCTAGGGTCATCCTGTATTCTGCTGTGCACACACACACACACACACACACACACACACACACACACACACACACACACACACACACACACACACACACACACTGATGTGTAGAGGAGGTTGTATAAGGACAGACTATGAAATCCTAAATTTTTACTCTGTATCTCTTTTCCACTTTCTTTTTTCTCTCCATCTTCTTTCCTCCCAACAGTCACTCCTTACTTTAGCTACATGAAGGACATGTTACTTTAAGGCCTATTTTTTTAGGGGTATGCAGGCATATCGGACGAGTTAAAGGTTAGGGAGGGACAAAGGAGGACAAATGCTTCCAAGTTACAAGTCCCTGGACAACAGAGTGCTAAAGAAAACAGATTACAATGATGTAATCGTTTCATCCTAAAAATGTAGTGCTTTTATTTGATAGCATAGCTCTAGACAGACAGGAAATTTGGGGTGAGAAAGTGGGGGATGACATGCACCAACAGTGCCAGGATCAGATGTAAAACCTGCGACCAGTGCCATGAGGACTTTATCCTCTGTGCATGGGGTGCCAGCTTAAATAATCGGCGCCCCAAGGTTTCATTTTTCTTAGGATTATCCAACAAATATTCCTAATGAATGTCACATTTGGGTACCAGTTTTCAAATATTCTGTCATTGTGTCATAAGATTGTAGTTGTTGAAGTTTAAGTTACTCCTTGGTAGACAAGAGAAAGTGTATACATGAATTAGTGCTTCTGTGAGGCTTGCATTTTTTATTATGAGACTGCATGCAAGCTTATTTTTAGTCGGTATACATTTTAGTATGTTTACCACCTTTGGTCATTGTGTCAGTGTATTCTAATATACTAATCCTGTGTGCAAATCCATCTAGGTTTTGTCAGAGATACTTTTTTTTCACAACTAAAATGATCGATCAACTGACTGATAGCAAGACTGTCACAACGATCCCTAAGCCATGCCATAATACAGCTAAAAATACTGCCTAAAGAAGTCCAGAAGTATAAATTGTGAAGTTAACAGACAGAACCTGAATGCAATATAATGTTAAAAAAGTATTTATCCAACAATTTGGCATAGTTAAGTGTTGGCTATTTTAATGCATGTTAACACATCCATGACTCCATTCATGATTGTTCATCTTTGGCTTGATTTGCAATATTTATCCGCTGCAACAATTTAAAAGAAAATGTAAAATTAATATTAATTATATTTAAAAAATTGAACTTATTTCTACATAAAAAATATAAAATATATGATATCAGTATGAGATTTGCCTGAAATGGAAGTGAACACCATCAATGACACTTTGAACCTCTTAGTCAGGGACTCAGTTCAGTTCAGTTAATGTGAATGAATGAACTAATATATGATTATATGATCAAAAATACATAAACAAAAAAACATAGTCAATTGGTACACATTGTGCATGAAAACGAGCTGACAGTATCTCTCAAACAGTTCAAGCTTTGTTACATAACTACAACTCTAAGGCTGTTCACAGTGTCGCTCTGAACCACTCACACAGTTGAACGCACGCACACATTGTCCCAAATTGCCCGTTAAAACCCTTAGATGAGACTGGTTTAAGGGGTTAAATCAGGACAAGTCAGAAGAAGTTGGCTTGATAAATAAGCAGACAGATGGGATGGAAGGACATAGGGGAGAAAGATGGACTGGACAGCAGATGAGATTGATGGATCAATTAATCATTGAAGTAATGAACAGATAATGGAAAGATTGCTGGATGGATATATGGATGATTGTTGTGATTAGATATATTCTTGACAAGGTAATGATGTCTTTAGACAAAAGAAGAGCGAAAGCAGACTGCAAAAGAAGTGAAAAGAAAACCTTCCAGGGTCCTGCTGGAAAGACACTGTAGCTCTGCGAAGTGTTTGAACCCACATACTGTAAAAGCAGCAGAGATTGGCCTAGTTGTGAGTGTTTATCTTGCTCCAAAAGTACACAGTGTTCTTAGCAGCATGTATTTGTTCTTTCCATAAATCTGTGATGTAATTTAAGTGTGTGTTAGACTAAAATATATTAGAGAGTGTCATCAAGCCAGATTACCTTGATCACAAAACAACAGAATTAACAAAGTGATAGTTAAGATCGTAGATGATTTGCAGCAGTGAGTGTGAGCGGCCTGGACGTTTTGAGG